GCCTGAAGAAAGAGGATTTGGCCTGACGCCCTTCAGCTGTATGTGAGGTTACCTACTATGTTAAATTGCATAATCGAAATGGAAGCAGAGAAGATTTATGCCGTGCATTCCATGCTTAAATTGGTATATCACCGCAATAAGAATCAACATAAGAAGACCAAATGGTGGAAGTGGCTGTCAGTATTAAAGCGTACCACCTGGAACCTCGCGCGATCTCTTGACCGTATACAATCACCTAGCGGAGCGGCGGAATCTCCTGATCTACACATACAGTGCCTTGCGAACCATGTCCTTCCAAGGTGTTATCTGTGAGTTCTGGGAAAGAAGCCATGTCACGTGAGCATGGTAACTAACAATCAATTAGGGCTTTCTCGACAGTTGTGGCCGATGGGCAATTTTCTACTCTTGGGGCAGTGTTATTAGGCACATTGGCTTGTCTTGCAAAATCCACAGGAATTGACAAACAAATGAAGTTTGCAGCTCAGACAGAAGTCCGTAGGGCCACTGCACACGCTAGGATCGACGGTCCAGAAGATATTGGGGAGGTTCTGTCTCGAGATAACGCTTTGTTAGGTTTCGGGGAATTTCTAGAGAAGCCTTGTTCAAAGCTAGAAGAATGCCCGAAGTCCAGCCCGAAGAAGTCGAACAAGATTACGGATTTCGCCGTAAAACAGAGTAAAATAAAGAAGAGGAAGAAGAAAAAGGATGCCATTGACGATCTTTTCGATAATCTCTTGTAATTCCTTGTCTTACAATCTGTTGACTCTCGTTTTAACTTGTCAATGACTCATCATACTCGTCACCATTGGAACACCGAGCGGACTTAGAGCTGTTTTGGCAATTATGATTCCCTATGAATAATACCGTAGAAAGCTCACCTTTCCATGAAAAAGCGCCAATCGATCTCTCCTAGTACATTTACCACAATGTGGTTGATAATTGCCCATGCCATAGTATAAAGGTATTTAGGGGAGAAGACCGTCCAGATAAAAAGATGTGTCCTTAACGTCGTACACGCCGCCATCACCGACATTAACATTGTTGCCATATGAAGAGTCAGTATGGTTACGTGTGCCTCCTTTTCTTCCTGATTCTGCGAGGAACGGAGCAGCCTACTGGCTGAGACCCACCATATTGGGGCGGCCCAGTTGCTGATGAAAGTCAAGGCACCGACGATAACAACACTGTAGGTGCCGATGCCGTTATATGCATTTGAAAGGTCGACCGACGAAATGGCATTTGAGCCTCCGAATGCGTAAAATGTCACATATTGCATGAGCAGGGAGGTTATGGTTTGTTCCACGGTTGATAAACGCATCGATGCGAGGATGGTGATTTGTACTCTAAAAATCAGAAAAGCGGGTATGTTCGTCACTCTCGATTGCATCAATAGAAAAAGAGTGAGAGTCTCGTGAAAGATGGTGCTCGGTGTCCCTTTTCTCTGTTAGGATCATTCGGTAAGGCTTTGGAGATCAATACTTGCCTCTGTCCTTGTGGGTCGATTCGTGGGCTTTCCCGGCATACAAGGAATATATCATGAGAAGAAATATCCCACAAAGAACTATTCTTGCATGATAAAGCAGGTGCATTCCATCGCTCACCATGGCCACCGGCTGCAAGAAGGAGTTCCCGAGAAGTTCGGGAGAGTCAGATGCCGTCAATGATAACTTGAAAAGAAAGGCTGCCAGTGTCACCACGCAACTAATAAAACACCAAAGCACTGATGCAGGAAGATCGAGGAGAAGGTGCACACAAGTATCAGCGTACGTCAAAATCACCAAGGCCCACAAAGTATGCTGGTGCGAAGGAAAGAAGGACCCGGTAATGTCCGGCTGAGCAGCGAATTTCTGGCCTGTCTGATTCCATCTTCGCAGAACTCGATAAGATACTGCTAGCGCAGCTGCGCCAAACCTGGGAAGTGAAAGTACAGATGACCAATAGCCTTCCACTGGACTAGATTTGTGAATTGAATTGCCCTGGAAGTAACCAGCATACTTAACATGTAGGTAAATCACCCATCCCATCGTTATCCAGTACCAGTACTGCTGTTCTTCTTCCACGTAGCTACTTGCGAACATCATAGTGCTATAGCCTAGAATGCTAAACCCCAAAAACATTCCAGCCGGCGTGAAATTCACTAACAGCCTTTTAACTGGGAAAATGGTAAGTGAGATAGCAAAGCCGGCAACGGAAAGCCCAACATAGAGCCTTATAAGTTTATAATCACTCGCGGCACTGCTCATTAGCCTCTGGGCACTCCTCAAAAACAGCAGAAGGGCAGACTCAATATCTGAAGAGGCTTCGCTATCGTAATCAACAACTGAACCATTGAGTATTTCATGCACTCGGAACCAAGCGCACTGAACACGCTCAATATCGGTCAACGATTGAGAGCTACAAATGGCAGGCATCAAATTAAACTCAAAGCTGTAACTCGGAAACGATCCTTTAACGGCTTCAAGCAACTGCTTGGAATTTTCGAGTAGCATATGAATCCTGTGCGGTCCTGATGCCGAGGTTCGGGGTAATAACTTAGCTCCTTTGTTTGCTCAGAATGATAAGGAACCCTTACCGTAATCCCACATCGCAAGAAGCTCTGGGATAAAGACACCCAGGCTATTCAAGGGAATTGGTAAGCCTAGGAGCCCTGCCAGTGTCGGTGTGATATCTGTCTGTTCAACAGTATGGTAATATTGTAGGTCACTGAATTCTTCCGTTGGACTATCTTTTCGAGTTTCGAGTTGTTGAAATTTAGGTGAGATAAAAAGCAGAGCCGGCGAAGTCTCGCCCACTGACGAACCACCATGATTCCCAGCATCGTTCATCCCATGGTCACCACATAATACAAAGAGGGTTGTTTCGAGATGTTTCTCTTGCTCTAAAGCTGTGTACACCATGCTAACAACAGAATCCATCTCATGTTGCTTTGTTATCATGTAAGGGCTAGAGATGTGTCAAGAGAATGTTACAAAATCCAGCAGCAGTTGTAGCACCATACCTATTAGGACCAGCTTTGTGTCCTATATGGTCAAGCCCAAGGTAGTGCATTATGAAAGCTGACCAGTCATCTTGTAAGAGTTCATTGGGGATGTGGCGAGTCACATTATTGTCTACTTCTGTGAAATCCTACAACGATGCTTAGCTCACTCTATGACTGCACGTCTGGCAGTGCCATTGGAGTGTACTGACCGACACAAAGAAGCTTGTAGTCCCATCAGCCCTGCGAAACATCCCAGGAAATAACTTCAGCCAAGTGTCATCTCCATACATGACCAATTTACCACCTTTTGCTTTCAATTGCGCTAACCATGTATCTTGGTGCATGAGAGTCGACGAGGTATCAGCCTCTGCAATATTAAGTATCACATCAAGAAATGATGGCACGGACCCTGTTGTTATGGCTTTGAGCCGGGGCATTGTGACAGTCGGAGCGCTAGCATAAGCAGTGAATGGAAGAGCAGCGCCTGATCGAATTAAGCTATGGATCTCTTGTTAGTGTGTGGGATCAAACGATAATCCTCTTCCTCCTAACCTTTGAGTGAATATAAACCCAGAGTGTTGGGAATAGACGAAATCGCTAGCATGAAAGTCAGCCTGAAGTACCGGGGATCTCAGTAAAGTTTGCGATCGTACCTCCGCAACGCATCAACTACCATAAAAACAACTTTGTCGAATACGCCCGGCGGGATTTGACCATTACTGATGTGTTCATGGGTTGCAAAGCCCGGAAGCAAAGTCTTATAGGGGAAAAATCCAGAGGAAAAGACGAGAATCGATATGGGGACGAGTATGTTGGCAATGAGTATCGTCCACTTCGATGTAGCAACCTTCATGGCTATTTCTCGGTGGCTTCTGCCACACGCTGGAGCAATTTCAAGTAAGTTATATTGGCATATACTGTACCTAATCTGACATGTCCGAATTTGTTACACTGTCCATGTAACACTGAAAATCAAGCAAATAGTGACAACTTCAAAAGGGGGTATACTTCGATCGGGCTACTGTATACAAAAAATACCTATATTCAGCACACCGCCTTCTGTTTGAGGAGGTGCATCCATCATGCGGCATTCCGTGTTCCCCATTCCTGACACTGCCAGGTGGCACTGCGAGTACCCAGCAGGAAGAGGGGCTACGAACGCCTCTTGGACTACAGAACGGCAGGGGCTACATAAACTAATCGGAGGCACTCTAGCCTCGCCTGACTCCATATTCGGAGGCAGGAAGATTTGTCCAAAATTGATGGGACCCTTGGGTGACGCTGTTGGGTTCATAAATTTTTATTGTTGCTGATAATAACGGAGACACAATGAGATGATGTTGTAGATAACCCCGAACGCCAATCAAGTGTTTATGAAATAAATGGTGCCTAAAACTTTCACCTCCTCTTCGGACCCTTCTTGTTCTTAGACTGGTGTGGACGGAACACGATAGACGAGCGGTTCTTTCTGTTGCTGTGGCGTTTATGAATCCGCCCTCCTTTGTGAGAGCGACTCTGAGTAGTTTTGATGGAACCGTTGTCAATGTCCATATCTAGAGACAGTGAGCCTTTAATATACAGAGAAATTGACTAGAGAGCGTATGTGACGCTGACCTTCATTTGTTTGTGATATCTTCATCTCTTCCTGGCGATCTGTATAACGCAATTACTTCGTGAGTTCCTCGCCAAATACAAGGGCGCATATATTAACAAAATTAAAATAAAACTAAATCAAAGGGAAAACCTACCCTTCATGCCCAGAGCCATATCTGAATTCTCTTCATTACTTGGTTTTGGCTGGGAGGCAAGCTCTTGCAGCTTAGCAGAGAGTCTTTCAGTTCGTGCATCAACAACTGGCCCAAAGACAGTGGCTCGCAGTTTCGCTCTATTGCGCTTTTGGACACTTGCTCGGACACTCTTTGCCATCTCGATGAAAGAATAAAAGAAGGAGGAGAATAATACTAGGATAAACGTGTGATCCTAATTTATAAGAAGTTTGACAGAAGCAGAGAATGGGTTCTGTAAATGTGTTATGCAATGAAGTCTCTTCGGCCTTCACCTTCTTGTGGTCAGTCTTTTTTTTTTTCCTTCCCTTTTTGGATTAGCCGCTCTGAAACATGAACCTTCTCTACAGTTGGCGGTGGATATCAAGAGTCATCCTATCGGAGGCCGTTTTCCCACCTCCGCAATCATCGCCGACCGCAGTCGCAAAGCAATCCCAGCCGGGGTGTGTGCCAACCGAAGCTCTATTCTTTTCATTAAATCAGTCTCCTGGTACTAATTTACAGCGAGGTTTACTTTTGGAACTTTTTTATATCTTGTCTCTTTTTGCCTTCGCCAAACTAAGGAAACAGAAGGATTGAGATGTCTTTTATCAGAGTCGCCAGATATTGCGCGCCTGTTTTGGAATCACCTCTTGAAATCCTTCTTACTCTTTGAATGCTATAACGGCCGACCGCCCCACCCTTACTACCATCATGGCCTCCGTTGGCCAGTCATCCGAGCTTCAAAGCGTGGTTGCTTTGGTGAAAACAATGACGAACGCGCAGCTCAAGGAGATACTGAGAAGTGAGGGGCTCGCTGTTTCTGGAGTGAAAGCTTCGCTTCAGCTTCGAATCATTGACTGTCTGTTGCCCTCATATTTTCTCGGTTTTGGTTTCCAGACAGCGGGGCTTCCAATAGTATTCGCTTGAAGCACACAGAAGGTTAATAAATGTATAGAAAGCTAACTGTTTCTTGGATCTGCTAGTCATTGAGAGGCTCAATCAAGGAGGACAAATTGAGCGATACGATAACCTAAAGAGAGCCGTGTACGCCACAGCACATCGATCAATGCCGCAGCCTTCAACGCCACAGTCATTACCTAGTCACCAATATCAGTCTCCTCCAGCTAATCAAGCCTTGTCTACACAACACCGGCCATCGCCATTGAGCACGCCAATGACGTCGCATGGGCTCACTTCTGGTATCCTCCCGATGCCGATTTTCATGTCTTTAAATTCCGGGGCCAATTCTCATTTGCTTCTAGGCCGGCTAAATTTCAAAGAAAGTCCTTTCTACACTATTTTCCAACAGCTTACACCTGTTGTGGAATGCAAAGGTGAGTTCTCGGGTGTTTCCTCAGTTTGCCATGTCCGTTCCCATCTAATATCGCAAAGTACGCGAGCAGACTAGGGACAGTGTAGAACTTAGAGTGGTTCTAAACCAAGATGTAGCTTCTAGGTTACAGGCCGATCCGAACCTTAGGGTAATGGTTTACTGTGCTGCAGATACTGGGCTTAATCAGTATACGAAATCGGATATTGCTTTCCCTCACCAAGTTGAGCTGAAAGCAAATCTCGACGAGGTGAAGGCTAACTTGCGAGGACTGAAAAATAAACCAGGTACGACGAGACCAGCTGATGTGACTGACTATATTCGCAAGAAACCTGGATATCCGAACCATATTGTGATGACCTATGCCCTCACTACAAAGGCAAGCGTTGAACCGGGTTGATTTATTTATCCCGTGTTCTTTCCCTCCCCATCTAACACACTCTCAATTCTGATATCAGGCGTCCAGTGCTGACCTACTATTAGAGATTCTTTGTGCTTGTCAGTCTCGTTCAGCGACATCCAGTTGAGGAACTTGTAGCTGAGTTGAAGATGAGGAAGACAATCTCGAAGGACCAAGTACTACGAGAAAGTATGTTCGCCCCTCTTGGGTATCTATTAGAGGACCAATTTTAAAAGGCGAGCAGTGAAAAGCAGAGCGGATGACACGGACATCGTTGCAACATCTAGCGTCATGTCATTGAAGTGTCCTTTATCTACTCTTCGAATCGCGGTCCCCTGCCGTTCAGTTATATGCACTCATAATCAATGCTTTGATGCATACTCTTTCCTGCAATTGCAAGAACAGGCCCCAACGTGGTCGTGCCCCGTGTGTTCTAAAGCGACCAGCTTTGAGTCATTACAAATCGATCAGTAAGTTCAACGTGGAGCGGTTGCGGTTGCGGTTGCTGTTCTGGTTCTGGTTCTGGTTCTGGTACTGACAACACAGGTATGTTGATGATATACTTCGCTCAACATCTCCAGATGTTGAACAGGTTGTTATGGAGCCAGACGGCAGATGGTCAAATCCGAAAGTCGACGACGATTCAGAAGCTGGTGGAGTTACTCCTGAGTCAGACGATGACGATTTAATAGAGATAAAGGAACTTGGAAACACGCCCGTTAAACAGGAATCTCTTCCAGCCGCGAGTTTATCTCTACAAAGAACCCCAGCTCAATCACGGGAGCCTTCATCGACATCATCTGTAGCTCGTTTGTCAACAAACAAGCGTCCTGCAGCCCAGGTTATTGACCTTACGGGGAGCGATGACGATAATGACGATGGTTCTCCTGTAAGACCGCCCAAACGGCCAGCTTTGAACTTGCTAAATCGACCTTTACCTCGGCAAGAATTTCAAAGTTCATACAACATTGCTTTAGCAAATGGCAAGGCTGCTCCTCGTGCTGGTCAGACTAGCTCTGAATCTCCAACCCAAACAAGTGGCTATAATGCATAATCTCACTTTATCAATTTTAGCATCTAACGGTGTCGCGGCGCATTCGGTTTCTGGTGTTTGATAACATTGCATAAGTTCAATTGGAAAATGAATTCATTCACTTCATTTTCGAATATGGGATATATCGGAACTCTACCTTTTATCGTTTGTCCTTTCTGGCCTCAATGTAGCAAGTCCTCGCCTAGCATAGGGTCTTCTCGGGAAGCATAAGTTTCGAACCTTAATTGCAAGAGGGAACAAAAGGAAACACTTATTTATGTTTCATTAATCGTGGCCTATGCTTTAGGACAAATTCATGCGAATTAGATAAATGGGTTAATTAGTTTCCTTGAGCGTTTGGACAATTACCCAATAAAACTAAATTCAATTTAGGCTGGAAGCGGAACCGCTTGCTGCCGACACTCTTTTACTATCTAGTTAACGGAGATCAGCCGCGGCCGAGGTAGCAACTAACCACCCCTTCCGTCACCCATTCTCTGTCACGCAGTGGTGGAATTAAGTCAGAATTCTCCTATGATCTTATGGAGGGGTATGAGATACGACGGCTAATTTCTAAAGATAACCGCTGTTACTGCGTTCCAACCAGCTGCGGACCCATCTCGGGGCCCATCTTCATTTCACAAGGGTCAACAACGAACAAAGTTCAACCGTGATGTCGTTCGATACTCCAGCTTCGGTTGAGCCACAAGCACGGGCTTTAAGCGCTTCATGTCTTGATTTTCTCCTAGTCGAGCTAGTACCTATGGCAGAACGCCTGGCGAAGGAACTTTCAACTGACGATACAATTCCCGATGATGATGAGATTAGGGAAACGACATTTTTCCGCCTCGAATCTCTTGGATACAGAGTTGGACAAGGCCTCGCAGAAAGGTAAGCTGCGGTACCGGGGGCAAGAATACCCGCCCATTCAGTTCTATCTAGATCCAGGCTAACCAGGTGCCCTTGCGCTTATGCTCTCTGTAGATTCTCTCGAGACCGCCCTAGATTCTCGGATAATCTCGATGTTATCAAGTTTTTGTGCAAAGACTTATGGACCATCCTTTTCAAGAAGCAGGTCGATAATTTGAAGACCAATCATCGGGTATGCATATTCACGCCGCCATACGGACATGAGTTTATTGTCGCACGCCAAACCCTGCCTTGAGGAAGAAAGAGGGCTGACTGAAAAACTCTTACAGGGGGTATATGTTCTGACCGATAATTCATTCCGGCCATTTGCAAGGATGAGCATGTCTGTGAGAAGCGAGGCGGTGTCCATGGCTCAGGCGGTATGGGAATATCAGTTACTTGACCCCTTAATTAGCTAGTAATTGCTGTTATCTAACCAAGTTCTAGTATTTATGGTTCCCGTGTGGTGTCATTCGCGGCGCTTTATCAAACCTGGGAATCGATACTACTGTTCAGGCCGAGACGGGTGAGCTTCCGGGAGCAACATTTCAGATCAAAACAGTCCAACCCAAATCATGAATGGAGTGCGAACAGCTGGCCTGTACGTAATGAAATGCCCATTCTCGCAGCGGATATAGCCTTGGGGCAATACAGCAAAAGGGCCTGAAAACCGAGCCCAGCATCAGATAGACTGGGTAACCGAATCGGCTAACGCTCTACAATCGGGTCACAGACCACTCTTCCTGTTCTTACAGTACATAGAGATGAGTTCGTGCAGGTATGAGTACAATTCGTTTCCATTCTGCCTGTCTCTGCTATCGCCTTCCACCGGAGCGACACGATTCCACGTTCATCCATTCGTCTTTAAATAATCCTATGCTTCAAAGCCTATCTTGCCCAGGTATCAATGATTAGCGGGGTTCTTTCAGTTTCGTGATTTGCAAAGTAAGTCACCGAAAGTACGAGGTCCTTTCGGTGGAGACAGGAGTGCGATATAGATGGCAAATTACCGACTGGTGAGTGGGAATCCTGCAACTGATGAACGGGGGTGGGCGAGTTTACTTTGGTGGTGGGTTCTTAACGAAGTCGATGCCCTTCTCGATATTACCCTTAAGGCCTTTCGTGCAAGCCTCGAGGAGCTTCTTCTCCTTGTCGGTCACGCCCTCAATGACGTTGCTAGCCTTCTCTGCGCCATTGGTCTGTTTAATAGCGTTAGCCTACCGTGATTTAAAAGGAGATTATGTGAGGAAATGAATCTTACTCCTAGGGTTACAAGAGTAGAGAAGAATTCCACGCCAGTTGCCTTGACAATCTCATCACCGCCGGGAATTCCAGGCAGGTAGACGAAGGTAGGCTCGACAATGCCCGTTTGACCCTTCGAAGCTTTGATAACACTCTCGGCGAACCTATGGCGTATTAGCAGCGGGTATTTTCACGGCACGCAGCATCCCTACCTGTAACCGGCATAGGCCATAGACAAGGTGGCGGAACCAGCGCCATCCTTAGCTTGGACCACCTCATCTCCACCAAATTGGACACCTTAAGTATAGTTAGTGTTTACAGCCAGATATTCATAAAATTCTCTGGGACAACCCACGGTGGATCAATGCGTCATACTTCTCCTCCGGTATCTGAATTGCGGGAGTAGTCTTGCTGAAGAGGGGTACAATGGTCTCGCCAGAGTGGCCACCCACAACTGGGATTTGAACAGCAGAAGGGTCCTTCTGGCCCGAGAACTCTTGGGTGAAGGTCTCTGCACGAACGACGTCCAGAGTGGTGACACCGAAGAGGCGCTTGGGATCAAAGACGCCAGCGGCTTTGAGCACCTCTGCAGCAATAGGAACAGTGGAATTCACAGGGTTTGAGATAACCAGAACAAACGCCTTGGGGCAGAACTCTGCAATCCCCTTGACCAAGTCTCGCACTATGCCGGCGTTGATCTTGAAGAGATCGTCACGGGTCATACCAGGCTTGCCTATCAGCTATCAGAAAACCGACCACCAGCGAACATACGAGGAGCAATGCGAAAGGGTAAGGACTTACGGGGGATACCGGCCGGGATGACAACAATGTTAGCACCAGTAAGGGCTTGCTTCAGCCCATCGTCCTTGGGCAGAAAGCCGGAGATTTTCTAATCGCTCAGGTAAGTATGATACCATTTTTCGCCCTTTCCCTCGGGCAATTCCCATTACGGCAACAACGTACAGCGATAGATGAGATGTGGGAGAGATCAGCAGCAACACCAGGAGTGTTCACAACATCGTAGAGAGCAAGTTCTTCAACCAAAGGACAGGTCTTCAGCAGGAGAGACAGTGGCTTGAGAGATAGTCAGCATCAAACAGGGTCACAATGAGACCAGGGTGGTCAGGTGTAGGGATATCCATACCTGGCCAATGCCACCAGAAGCTCCAAGTACCACTAGAGCTTCAAGTTAGTGCCCATGGAGAGTGTCATCTGCTAAAGATTGCTAACTCACCAGCTTTGACCATGATGGAAGAGGCTTTTGAATCAAACAATTGAATTGGTCTGTTCCGTTATAAACGAAGAGATGTGTTAGCGATCTGGGGAGTTTGAAGAAAAAAGGAAGACAAAGAAATGGAGAGAGACCGTCAATGTGGGGGGGTGGTGGTGGTGGAGGGAGGAAGGAACAGTTGAGTTCAAGGCAGGGAAAGAGGGGTAAATAAGCTAAGAGGGGAGAAGGGTGGTGGGGAGAGGGGGAAGGAGGGGTACGGAAGTAATCAGGTATAAACCGCTCGAGGTAGATATCGTACGCCCAGTAGTAATCTTTCCTGAGGAGAATCCATATATATATAAATATATCCTCTCTTATATTTCTTAAATACTCAGAGCGTCAACATGCAGGTATGACAATGACAGCTCCTCAAGATCAATCACACGTGGAGAACCCAGAGTCCGGAGTAACTAACATTACTAGACAATCATATCCACAGCAATTATTATCATTTGACTAATACGGATTACACCATTTCACCATTTCACCAAATCTCCAGTACCACTACTACTCGACAGATTCCGACAATTTCCTTATGGCACACTGCCTAGATACTGGGGGTCCTGCACATCACTATGTACACTATATAGTACATCAAGTACCTACCTCTTGGGTGCATGCGTACTTCACCAGAGACTGCATGCCTGGGTGTCATATATTTACATACATACATACACAACAAAATAGTACCGGGGCTATGGGTTGATCCATGGGAACAATAGGTGATTCCTAGTCATCCCGGCCACCCATACCAGGCCCCTAACTTCCTCACGGCCCCCCCCGAAAAAGTCGATGGCCCAGACTCCGGCAATTCCTCTATTCCTAGATCCTACTACCATGCCCGAGGACATCACCCGGTCATGTACCATTCGGCCGTTGAGACCTCGGGAAAAGGCGGGTGATCTGAATATATTTACGGGTAAAGGCAGCTGTGTGCTTAACCTCCCAAAACCTTTCGTTTCCCGTCGGCCCGAACATCGGCTGTAAGAGTTCTGAAGCACGTGCTAAATCTTGTGAGCACAACACCAGTTGGAGAATGAGATTACAATGTAGAGTTTGATCGTTCCCCCGTCAATCGGACTACACAAGTCAAGGGTGGAGATCCGGGGGATGGGGTATTCATATTTCGTGATTCCTTTGTTTTTGTCTTTTGGTTCTTTAAATCTCTTTTTGAATGGCCTGGTGCACATTTGCCCCCGTAGCAGTATTGCTAAATTACATGGACGCTTCCGCCCTTGACCAGCATGGCGCCACTATGCTTGATGCGCCCAACCCTTGCGACTACTCGTCTCCGAGTCCTATCATTTATGCTGACTCCTGCTCAACGGCCTTCCGGGCCTGAGCACCTCTGGGCTTCTGGGGAGGAGTATCCTTCTTAGGCTTCTGAGAACGGCGAATGGCGCTCACACGAGCAACAGCGTCCTCACGGAGGTCAGCACGGTAGCCGTTCTTTGCGGTCTTGTCTGCAACACCCTTGTAGATCCTAGCAAAAGTGGCAACCATCCAGTTAGCAAAAGCACAACGGGATATTCGATTGTTCAGCCCATGGAGAGTGAGGCGATCGGTTCTGCTTACTTGCGAGAGGAAGCCTTGGGTCCAAAGGTCACGCGAACGGCGTTCTTTCCGGGCTGCTGGGAATTGCCGGACTTCTTGGTAATAACAACAACGCCACCGTTTTCAGTGGGCTGCACACCAACAGCCTGTTATCGTGGTTAAAAAACAAAGTCTAGGTATACAAGTGAAGTCATCGGTGGCCACAGGGCGAGAATACCTTGGTGTTGGCGTATCCGGCGTACTAAAATCAAGCGGTATCACTGGTTAGTCATTGGCACTCTGAGCTTGGAGAATAAGAAACTTGAAAACAGCCTTGTATGGAGATCATAGGCCTTGGGGCTCTCGTACCTTGAAAGAGTGCTTGTTCTGCAGGTTCAAAGGATCACGGGAGAACTGAGAGCCACCACCGCTGTTACGCTTGACCAGAAAAGCATTCTGGTTGCCTGTTCACGACCATAGGATTAGTTGGATTTCCAAGGTATCAGATTAATTGACGTAAATGGATGGAGAGTGAGTATGGATGCTAAGTATGGCGTAGAAAAGTTAAACGTACGGGTGAGCTGCCAGACCAGGTCGCTGGAAACGTTCTGTCTTTGGGCGGCCATTGTAAATTATCTCTTTCGGGCTGGTGGATTGAGGACGGATCGAAATCTATCAACACAAAGGCTGGTATACTGAACGTGGATTGTGTGTGCCAGCGCCAAGAATGGAAGTCCGCGATCTCGCTAAGCGGACCTCTTTAGGATTAGCGCCTGAAACAGGGTTGCTGCCTCAGATCGAAGGCAGCAAGAAGTGTTCAGCCACTTGCCTCTTCCGCAGTTCGCCGTGACTAGTAGATCTCCCCAGGCTACCGGGTTGTCGTGGTACCATCTTAAAAGCATCATATGCTGTTGACGGTGGCAGCTGCCTGCCAGCCGAGAATCCCTCATTCATGAATCTAGAAAGGAGTTTTGGCCTCTTGAGCTTCTCAACAGTTGCCGTTCACATCCGGTATTGAGGAAGCCGTTAACGTCATCCCCCCTGTCTTTCGTTTGAACAGCCTCGCACCCATCCAACTGACCTAGTTGCCATGGCATACTATCTTCTATACTTTTTGGCAATCTCTGTTGTGGTTTGTGGCACAGGTACATTGCACTCCAGCAAATCCAAAAAGTAGTTACGGGTCTGGATATCATGCTGACGAGTTTAAAGTACTCTACCTTACCCGGGCCCGATGGTTGTCTTTAATCCCAGTCCCTGATTACATATACGATCGCCTACCTTCTAGCTTTGCCGATGACCTAGAGGCGGGGCTGACATCAACGCAGTTTGACCTCTCCGCCAACATTGCAGATGGTGACACTAGGGCTGGGTTGGATAACCAAGCTAAACGACAAATCAGGAAGATCATGAACCGCCAAAGGATAGACTTTGATGAAGCTCGCCGGATATATACCGAGCAACGTTTTGCTAAGAATAACATTGGTCCCGACGGCCGGCCCAAGGACCCGAAGTTTGTTTCATTCTCATAACATGTTGGCCATGAGACACTTGTTGTACCGTATTACATTAAACCATTGATTCTTTGCCCTTTCTTCATTCTTCCGCTTTTCGAGAGCCCTGGCAATATATCTGCTAAACTTCAGACGAAAATTCATTTCATTTCCCCTCCTCTATTTAAGCCATAAATATCTTTAATGCGCAAGGTCAAGTACCTGCTATAGATACACAAGGGATCGACGGTCGTGATTGCGCTCTCGCCCAGCACTTTATTTGAAATAACCTTGCCTCTTATTCCCATTGTCATTGGAACCTGGCTTCAAGAGATCTGCCTATATGCTTTAAAACCACGGGTTCTATTTCATGCAATGCCTGCACCTAATGAAAGGTGCAACCATGAACACTAGAAAAGAGAACAAAAGGGAAGTTCCATTATACACATGTTGTGTGCTCCGCTAAATCTGAGTCCAGTACTGGAGTCGGGGTTATTGATAGGTCGGTATGCCCCCTGAGTGAAAACCGGGAGTCTGGTTCTTGCCAGTTTCCAAGGGTACTCGTTTCACACGTAGCTTTTCGAGCCTCTTTTTCGATGAATTGTCACATCATGTCCAAGTAGCGCCCCTGTGAACCTAGTACTCATCGGGTAGACGTTTGACTTCGAAATAAAGCATTTGAGCCGAATGTCTAGCGCCCTCGACCATAGGCTGGCTGCTGAAATCCTGGGGGTAACGGTGGTGGGGGGCCAGCATTCCCAGTAGGAGGGCTAAATCCGGGAGGAGCAAAGCCTGGAGGCGGTGCTGGCTGTGGAGGAAAAGATGGTTGCTGACCCGCATTGTTGAAGGCTGGAGGTAAGAAAGCCTGCGGTGGACCTCCATAGCCAGCTTGTGAAGGTGGAGGCCGTGCTGGCAAGCCTGGTGGTGGATTTGCCAAAGGTGTCGCAGGTGGAACAGACCTGTGTTGTTGCGGGGGAGGCACATTCGAAAAACCAACATTAGGGGGCGCAACACCTCTGCCCATCCCTAGGTCTGGAGGACCAGTGCTGATCTGCCTAGAGCTATCACCATTGGCCATAGCCGGGGGTACCATAGGGGTCCCTGAACCTGAGAATGGAGATTGTAAAGGCTGAGTCGGTGGGCGTACATTATGCTTACGGGCTTGCGCAGCTAACATCCGCTCCGCTTGATCACCATGGCGTTCACCCTTGCCATCTTTCTTATAGGCGTATTGTACCGAGACTTGCTTATTCATGAGGTACTGGCCATTCATGTTTGCTATGGCGGCATCCGATGACTCAAAATCGCCGAACGACACAAATCCATATCCCTTTGATAAGTTATTGTCATCTCGTGCAATCTGCAGCCAGATTAGCCCACACCCCTAAGAAACGGCGGATATTCGACATTACCTTCGGTAAATTGACCAAGTTCCCAAACCGACTGAATGTATCATAAAGGACTTGCTCCGTGACCATAGGGTCAAGGTTCCCAACAAAAAGCTCTGCGCCGATTTCCACCGACTTCTGCTTGTCAGCAGACGCTTTGTTCACGCGTATTGGCTTCCCATATAAACGGATCCCGTTCATTATTCGGGATGCATATTCTGCATCCTCTTCGCTGATGAATTCAACAAACCCGTAACCTTGGTGGGACTGTGTGACTCGATCTTTCGGCAGGTGAACGTTAACGATGCGCCCTGCCTGCAGCATCAACTCCCATACTAGGCTATCTGTGACCCTTTCGTCAAGATTGCCAATGTAGACGGTGGCTTCTTTATCCTGCTCCCTATAGCGGTTGTTAGAATCTCTGAAGCTCTCACAACTCCTAAAATGGGGAAAATCACTTACCAATGCCTTGCACCGGACATGGCGTCGCTTACGTAGCGGTGATCGGTTAGTACTCGACTTAGCAAAAAGTAGCTAGTAGATAGTATGTAAAATTGTTGACAGTATGGTACATGGATTATCAGACAGTGATTATGGTAGAATGAGAAGGGTCGAATCAATCTTTAACAAAGGCGGGAGTAGGATGAATACAATAATCTCGGAGTTTGGTTTATCGGCGGCAGCTGTTTTTAGCCCCCGAAAAGTTTGAGCTTTCGCCATGTTTCTTCCTTCTCCGCTAACTATTCTCCGCTTTCACTTAACTGACAGCCTTCCCTTTTGCTTTGGGAATTCTACCCTCAAACAAACTACCAAGAATTGATCCTTTTGAGATTTATTATCCACTGCCGTCTTTCCTAGTGAAGCTCTCTGGACACCGACACATTCTCGTGCCTATCGCAATGGTTCAGTTTTCGGAAGAGACTAAGGTTAGACATACAATCCTCAACAGAAGCATGCGTAACAACCACTCATAATTCCTTCTCTTTAGGAGCGCATCTCCAAGGTTATTGATGTTTCAAGGGTCGCTATTCACTAGTGAGTCATTCGATACTCTACAAACTCCGTGAGATGCGATAAAACCTGACTAGGCGTGCAGCGGATATCTACCCTTGATTGTTTATCTCGGTATGGGGATTTACTTGACTGCGACGTGGACGTTCTGAGAACTATCTGTACTAATCAAGCTGATAGGTTATACGTATAGCGAACCCAAACCATCTTTGTTCAAGTATTTCTAAGAACTCCTTCCCTAGCCTACCCGATATCAGAACTGGAGCTGATGTTATGGCCAGGTTATTTTCACCGCTCGCATAAAGTGAATGAGTCCCAAAGGATCTGTCGATACAAATAACAATTTGTTAGGACCGAGAGGTTTTCCTTTTCTGTTGTGCCTTTTTCGCCTACAACAGGGGGAGTTCAGCTCATGGCTGAGTGGCTGATGGGAACTCTGTCTTGTTCAGTTTGTTGTGACGAAGATCGGGAGATTTTACATTGACACCATGTATTTTTAAGGACATTTTTTATTTATATAAGGGTACTCTCTGGATGATGAACATATACGAGCTATGCTTCGATCTGTAGAAGTTGATTGTCAAAAGGTGAATAAGCAAGAGCGGAATACTAAGGGGGAAAAAAAAGGACTTCTTAGATAACCGACAAGTCCTGAGCCTTCCGACCATTCCTTAATCGAATTAATTGACTGGATAGATGTCCAAAGTAAATCGCAGCCAATTCGCTGTTGGTATGAGAAAGGGCCTTATTACCTATAAGTTAACCACCTTCCTCATCTAGGCGCGAACAGGCAACTTCCGCCGCCGAACCGTAATCGATACGCGGACCTCCGGAGACGAAAAAGTCGATGACAGAACCAACCCTCCGTCACTCTACTAAGCTATACGAATGCAACCCAGGGAGGAGTAATAAAAAGTTCATGAACGGGCAGGATGGCTTGTCGTCATCCTTTGTGGAGAGCGTAGCGGGATTTACGGCTGGAATTGTTTCTACGTTGTGTCTCCATCCGTTGGATTTGATCAAAACTCGACTGCAAGGTAAGCCAGTCCTTGTGGTATACGCATGCAACTCTCTACCCCTACTTCTGCCCTTCATTTGATCATGTTGACACTCGCTTGGGATAGATGAGTGTGTGCGATCGTGGCTAAATCTTCTCTTCCCTGAATGACTTAGTTGACCGATCCTCGTCCTCTCGAGTGGGTGGTTCGCTTCGCGTCGTCCGCGGTATATACCAGAATGAAGGCGGCGTCACAGCTTTCTACCGTGGACTGACGCCCAATATCATTGGCAACTCGACCAGCTGGGCCCTTTATTTCTTGTGCTATGGTAATATCAAGACTGCGACGCGTACTTGGCGCAGTTCTCGGGAGGAAGAACTTACCTCCTCCGATTATTTTCTTGCCTCGGGGGCCGCTGGTATGCTAGAACCCTTAACTCTGGCTCGCAAATCTGGATGTGGTAGGGGCTGACTCAAATCGGCTCTTTACATCAGGAATGCTGACATCTCTATTGACAAATCCTATCTGGGTCATTAAGACTCGCATGTTATCCACTAGCTCTAGGACGCCCGGAGCGTATGCGTCTTTCATCACTGGCGCTTCACAGATATATCATTCAGAGGGTATTCCAGGCTTCTATCGCGGTCTCCTTCCAGCACTTTTTGGGGTAAGCCATGGTGCGCTTCAGTTTATGGCTTACGAAAAGTTGAAACTGCACCGGATCAAGATGTCATCTGCGACATTGCCTAACGACGACTATGCGGGATCGGCACAAGTTCGGTTGCGAGGACTCGGTAACCTAGATCTCTTCATCATCTCTAGTCTTTCGAAGATATTCGCCGGGTTTGCCACATATCCATACCAAGTGTTGCGGTCTCGGTTGCAAACTTATGATGCTCATCTTATGTACCGGGGGGTCCAGGATGTGGCTTTGCAGATCTGGGCCAGAGAGGGGGTGGCCGGTTTCTACAAGGGTCTGGGGCCAAATATATTGCGGGTGCTGCCAAGTACATGGGTGACCTTCCTGGTGTATGAGAACACCCGAGCATATTTACCCGAACTGATTTCACGCGCATAATGCGCTTCTGTCTTTGAGAAAAACAGTTCTCACTGCCATGAATATGAGAACCGGCGTTTTCATATTGACCGAGGTCTGCACATGCGAATTCAGGCCAGGAGGTATGTCAGCTGCACTATTGGCCTGCACTTGGAAGGTCGAGGCATGCCAAGCACTCGCAATTCTGATACTGCTCCCCGTGGCGACGCGTGAGATATTCGCCTACCAACAATGCAGATATAACAGAATTTACATTTTTGTACCAAGAATTACTTGACGCTAATAGTATTGCACAGAATGCTTTTTGTGTAAGCTGACGGACAACGCTGCCCCGACGGCGGAGAGATTCTCATAAACATCCAACATAAACAAACCTGGTATCGTAGAATATTTCAAATACATTGCAACACACAGCCAAGGAAGAACAAGTAGAACTAGTGTCAACCAGGAAAAACAGTGCAGCTCAGTGATTTTGTCTATCAATATAATAGGCATCCGCATCCTCGTCGTCACTACTCGAACCCCCGGTGTAGACCGATGATTCCTCACAACTGGGCAGTTGCAACTTGTCATCATTGTTGCCTAGAGTCTGGTGTTGTTTCCCAGGTCCTGAATTAGACGTAGGGGAGATCCTACGATCCTTTCCACGACCCTTTATTCCCTTGTTGCTATTCTTGTAAAGAGTGGCAAAGTATTCCCACAGCTTTCTATCTTGCGGGCTCATGGGCTCCCCTATGGTTACTTGGGAGAATTTCAGTGTTAAATCCCGCAATGTTGTTGCGTGAAATTTATTCTGGTGAGACTGTCCAACTAGTTAGATACGGCATAGGTAATTTACGCGAGTACTAGAATGCATGGGTCATCGCACCTTGAGATTGCCCAGCTGAGTAAATTGTTTCCCGCAGTCGTCTAACAGACAGGTGAATGGCTTGGCATGCTGGTGTGTGATTTTATGGGCACGGACATTGCCGCGTTGGGCAAACCTCTTCTGACATATATCGCAAGAGAAAGGTTTCTCTCCAGTATGACGTCGCTGATGGGTCTATTGGTAAGAGTTCTGGTTAAAATCTATCTTCTCCCTCCAGCATAACAGGACAGATTGTTGCTCAAGCGAGCTCACCTTCAGATTGCCTAACTGTGAAAAACGTTGTCCACAAGAGGGTTCCTTGCAGATCTGTCAGTGAACATGGTCAGTCACTGGCTCTGTTATAATCACGGCAGGTTGCTATCTTCTTCCTACTCACAAAAGGCTTGTCTCCGGTGTGGGCCCTTGTATGGATATCCAAATGAGTCTTCTGGGCAAAGCTCTTTCCACAGTGTGGAAGGGTACAGATATATTTGCGCTTCTTCCCTGACCGAGACTGCGCTTCTTCAGCCATCATAGTGCATCGGGTATTGCCAGATGAGTGAAGAGAAAAGGTCTGGGGATAACCATGGCCTCCCCTGTGTGTTAGTTGCTGTAAAGGCGGCAATGACTGTATATTTGGCGGCTGGACACTGGTTCTGGACTGGATTGCTTTCATCAGTATATCAACCTCGGTGGTGAACTCGATATCGCTGACGCTAGGGCTCTTGCTTTGGGTAGCTGCTCCGTGGGTTGACGAGCGGGCCATGGGAGTCTGTTGTGTGTTTGAGCTGGGATCAGTTTTGACCAACGGTTCTCTAGATACGCGATTGACCGCATTTTTGGCAGGACGGATATCAGGAATTGACTGGGCAGGTGGTGGCTCGGACGATAACCGTACGGGCTGGGAGTTGATCGATTCATGGCTGGCCACGAAGAACTGAGGATAGCTGGGTTGATGGTGGTGATGGTGGTGGTGGTGGTGATGATTGAGTGCATGGCCAAATCCATAAGCGGTCGGTGGCGAGTGGTGGAATGGCAGTGGAAATGACGCTGCTGGGTTTGCATAGAAGGGAAAGTTATGACCAAGATTGGAGGTCATCATCCGACGCGGCGCAACGGCGCCGATTGCATGACCGGGGAATTCATAGGACACAGGCTCAGCTGTTTCCATCTCGGGCGAGATTAGGAACAAAAGGCAATGCCCAGGTTACCGTACTCTAGGACCACTTCGTCCTTGCTGTCCACTCGTCTCTTTATTCTCGCTGTCTCAACGTCAGACTACACTTTCATATGTGACCACAAAACAGGAAGCCTTACTGATGAGCTTCCTTCAAAGACGAACTAGTGATCAATGGTCAAAGGTCAACAGCAGATGTCGGAAGTTTCTGCATCGACGTCTATCGATGCTAAAGGAAAGAAGCAAATAGAGCGGGAACAAGCAAATAAAGTATAAGGTGATCTTCCGATGGTAAAAAGCAAATATCAAAGGGTCGATCGGATAGAGAATCTCAAATTCTCCGCAGTTCAGAAGGCTCAGATCACTGCATATGAAATGATAATTATCGAGCCAAGAACGAGAAAGAAAAAGGAAATGAAAGGAAAGGAAAGAAAAGAAAAGAAAAGGGAAAAGCGAAATAAGGGAATAGAGAATAGGAGTAAAATATAATGAGAAGGAGAGTTGTTGAGTGGAATGAATGACAGTCGACAGGATGTTGCTCGCAATGATTAGTGGTGAGTATGGAAGCAAGCCGTGGCCTTCTCTCTTTCTCTGTTCTTTTCTTCGTCTTTGCCTTTGCCTTCTTCTTTTCACTTTTAGTATGTGTGCGTTTGTTATTTTTGTTTGTTGCTTTTTGTATGATATACTAACCCTCTGGATCTTTTGCACTCAAATCCACATTGACATACGTGACATTCTGTCTGATAGTGGTTATCTAGAACTAGATATACATCTACCTTTATTATAATATTCTAATTAAGTTAATCTTTAATCTTTGTTTTATTTTTCCCTTATTCTATTCTATTTTAATATTTCTTTCTAGCTCTATTTCTTTTTTATTTCTTTTTTGTCTTATTTTTATTATTTTTTTACCTTTTCCCGCCCACCTCCTGCCCGGAGGTCCCAGAGCAGTGGAAGCAGCGGGGGTGGACAACGACAGGGATCCAGCCTGTTAGCTGAGAGTTAGCTGAAGGCTTCATCTGGATCACAGAGACCAGCACCCGGAAAAGGCTAAGTGTTCCAACAGTACTCTGTACTGTACGGGGTACTTACATACCTATCGTACTGATGATGTATCCTTGTCAGCACATACAGTATAAACCTAGCAACAAGACACTAGTAGACATGGGGCACCGTGCCTTTTCCAGCAGTGTGTACTCCATACTGCACTTTCCTCCGTTTAGACAGACACAAGAGGATGATAAGGAATCATCCACATTGCAAGATACTCGAAGGCTACCTAATTATCAAAGATGGATGACTTGACCCACTGCCAGACCTTTAGACTCCTCCCTTTCCCTTCCCACCCCACCAGCCTCTATTGGGGTGAGTATGAGGTAATGGCACCGTCTCTTCAATGGTTTCTTACACCTACAGATGAGATGGCATTGGATGACATGGAAAAATGACGAGCTGGACTTCGCCCAGACATTGAATCATACTAGATCCATGCCTAGTGAGATCCACCGTCTAAGTCCAACTAGTTCTATGGTCTAGTCCCGACTTCCATCATCCTTGGGCCCCTGATCATCTTTTCTTTTACCTTTTCTGCCCATCTCGGCGGGGCGATGGATGGGGATGACTTTGATTGACTGCTGCAGGGGAGGGAGAAAAAGTAGGAAGTACTAGTGAGTACCCAGTACTAGTCGTGGCGGGACGGACAATCGTGGAGAACTGGTGGTTTTAGGCCAATCGCGGGATGGCGTGTGACAGCCCCGATCGAGCTGATAATCACGCTCCCACATTGACGGTACATAGTCATACATACGTACTTGACTTGGTATGGATATACTAATGTATCTTTATAGGCTTTGAGCCCATACCTCTACCCAGTTTACCTGCTAGTACACAGTAAGACTCTTAACAGCTCAATCGACCTAGATCAGTCCCACAACGATTAAAATCGCCTTGGTCGATATTAATTTGGAGGTTAAAAGGTTCATTGTTTATATCTCCATGTAGCAGAGTTCATAGAAGCATCGCCTGCTCATACTCCACCCCTCTCTCTTGTCTTTGACCTCCTCTCGATTTCTTGTTTCCTTTCCACGTTTAATTGGTGGCAGCGGTGATCATCGTGGCCATACTGTAAAAAAAAGAAAGAGGTATATATAAATGAAATAGGAACATCATCTTAATTTCAAGGGGAAAAGGGAAAATAAAAAAGAATAAATAAATAGATAAAATAAAAACAAAGATTGAAACAGAAATAATAAAACGAATAGAGCAGTTGACAGCAATTTCACAACTATTACTCTGTCAAGAACCATTACAAGGCAACCATGTATAGTGTGCACTGTACTTGCTCCATCCTATGGATTATTAAGAAAATAGAAAGTTCTTCAGGAAATGAACCCTCATTTTCTCTCATTATTTTACTTCCTTTCTTTCTCCCTTTACCACCCCCTCTTCTTTCTTCAAGCTCTCTACCTGATATCCTCATCCAATTGCTGTTTGAGATGGGTGAGAGGAGTGCCAAATACAACAGCCTTGTAAGTTACGCCATATCCGCTGCGTAATCATATATCATCTGACCCAGCAGCCCTGGAGGGTGCACTGACCAGCCAGGCAAATTAGACCAAGGCGAGGGATGGGTTTCAGCCTACCTGAAAAAGACTGGCTACTTAGTGGCCGCTTGGTTGCGTACGGAGGGAGTAGTACCCTTTAGTCAGGTACTAGACTAATGTAAATATCGATATCTCCACTCTGGGAGTCTTTCTCATTTCTTAAGAACTACAAAATAATGGATAATGTCATGGCTAACATAATCTGAGGTACAACCTGTATTATGGGATCTAAGTGAAAGCATCCCCTCCCCCACTAAATAAGAATTATATAAAAAGAAAAGAAAGAAAGAATTAGTCGACTAGGATACCCTCGTCATCTACGCAGGCACCTGAACTGTTGGAACCCATCCAGAAGAAGCAGTTTCAAGGTCGATGGTCAACACTCGCCTCACTAGTGCACCGATCAGCATGACCCGAATGGGTGTAGATCTTTGAGACTGGAAGCATCTCGTTTGTATTGGGTCTCTGACCTGATCGTAGGGTCACAAAAATAAAATAATGATAATGATAATAAGGGAAAGAAAGGGAGGAGAAGAAGCAGAATTGAAAGACCTGGGCACCTACCAAGCAAACTAGGTGCATCATGATATCCACTGTGTTCGTTGAAAATCAGGAGTTCAACCATTTATTATTTGCATGGAGCCGGCCGATGCGGCAAGCATCTTGCAGTACATCTAGTACATACACACAGAGGGTAAGCCACATGCAGCTTCGGGGCGGATGGGAATTTTAAGACTGGCTGCAGAAAAACGCAGGGTGTCCGAGAACTCGGGGGCTGAAGACGCCCAGAGTCGAGAATATTGTGTCCTTGTAATGAGACAAAGTGCCATGGATCGTTCGGAATCAGCTCGTATACCCGACGTATGCACATAGCAGGAGAGAAATGCACGTATATGGAGTATAGATGGCACTGCCTTGAGGACGACTATTTTGCATTCAACCTCCAATGGGAGGGATCCCTGAGTATGGCCACAGTCAAAGAAACCCTGTGGGTGACAGAAGTACCGCAAAGTTATGACAAGGGTTCGCCGGCAGAGCTACAGAACGGACCGTCCGCAGCCGATCAATAGTGTGGAAATACGAACTACTTAGTATCTCATTTGCTGGAAGTGACCCCCCTTTGGGTGGATTCCTTGGCGTCACTCTTCGCGACAGCCGCGGCTGGCGAGGAATGTCTACCACAATGCCTAATACATACATGGATACGTACCTAAACTCTTACGGGGTAGACGACCTCTGAGCTAGTACGTAGACTCTTACCTTGTCAAGCAAGAACAAACGAGCTCCATGAGTGGGTGTTGTCCAGTCTAATTAATTTGTTCCACAGGTTTCCAAACTTCTTAGTCACGCGTCACACATTCGATCCACTGCGAGTCATGGCGGTCTGACTCCAGTCCCATACGATTCGGCACTCCTTGATCGAGCTTCTACGGAGTAAGTATACTGTGTATGTATCCCAGCGTCCGATCATCTATTGCCTTTGACTAATACCATTGGGAAAGAGAAAAAAAGACTGCTGTCCCCACCCTCCTCACCACACACGCACACACGTTGACCGTGGCCATCTTAGCCGTCGGAGGACTTCCACTACCTTGGTAGGTTGGTACAAGTATATTATTGTCCATCCCCTGTAGTAATCCCCAAACATTGATTTTTAACCCCATGAATTGACACTTTTGGACAGGAAAATTAATCATAATGGTAATTGAATATATGACAGAGGGAGAGACAGGCGGAGAGAGAGAAGCTAGGTGCAAGGAGAGCTTGTGGCTGCAAAATTTACGGATAACGCAATTTGACTAGTAGTAATAAGGAAGATGCTAACCATTTCAATCATTCCCCCGTTGCTGTAGCGGGCCGGGCCTTCTTCACCATGATGATCCATAGATCGATGCGTCATTCCACCTCTTGGTATATCGATAAACTCATTATGAACATGTGTAAATAGAATACAAGGAGAGATCCAAGATGAACGCGCGGTCTTAAATTACCATCATACTTAAGCCGCGTAAGGTAAATGTTAAATCGTAGCGGGTATGTCACTGATTGACTTGCCAATATTGATTGGGCCAGCTCTAATCCTGGTACCCTTTGATTTTTTCTCACTTTATTACTGGCCTGACACAACACGAGGCGCTAAAGGGGGGAAGAGAAACAAAAACAAAAATAAATAAAAATAAATTAAAAAAAAATAAAAAATAAAAAAAATAATAAAATAATAATAATAAAGATAAAGATAAAAAAAAGAAAAGAAACCAGTGGAGCTCTAAGTATTGATTCCCCCCCAAAAAAGACGAGGGAAATTGTTACAGCGTACATGTTACACGCACAGTTATTTTACCTCTCATAACCGAGCATATGTACATATAATTGAATATATGTATGGAAGTACGGAGTAGAGCACAGTCCATACTACACACAAGAAAACGCAAAAAGAGAAAAGGATATTGATTGACTGGATAATGGCATGCGATTTCCACTACCTGTTTAACAAAGATTTACCCAAAGACATGAAAGCAAACAGGGGGGAGGGGCTGAAAACAAGATACATCACATGCACTGATCTATTAGGGGGATATCATTTCGCACCATTCCACAGCAATCTACCAACAGGGGCTTTGGATCCTGAGTCTTGGTTCAGGCACCGCAGGACCCATTGATCCATTCTGCTTAGTCCTGGAGGCAAAATGGGTAGATGATTATGGCTAGGTGTACAAAGGAAAATGACGAATGATCGCTTGATAGAGCTCTTCAACGACTCAATTATTTGTAATTGCATCCTAACCCGACAGGGAAAGGGCATGCATGATGTTTGCTCCGGCCCATATTTCGGAGGATATTGCATCTATCCCCCCCCGAGCCCTTGCAGTGCGTTCGGAACGCCATATGTAGTTAGCAATGTCATAGCTTTCACATACATCTATTGTATGGGTCGTCGGTGATCTTAGCTTGCTAGATGGAATCCTTCCCACCTGCGCTTCTGATGCAGGAGATGACAATCCCATTATCTACTGGATTGTTAGGTTTTACCAAAGGAGCGGTCTATTATAGATAGCTTCTTTGTTCAACAGACTTCGGAGCGAAAACTGCTGATCACCATTACTCAAGCTGAAGGGTAGATAAAAAAGGAAAAGAGGGGAAAGAAAGAAAGAAAGCAGTAAAACAGACTGCCTTTTTCATTCTTTTCTTCTTGCCGACTTTTCAAGCGGATCAGCGCGGCATTGAATTCTCTCCGCCTGTAAGATAACAATACCTATTTCCCAATAGCCGCCCATAGCCCCGAAAATTCCACTGCTGGACAGAAGCTGACTGGTGTATGCACCACACCGATATGATTTGATGTGATTTGGTATTTCTTGATTTTGAATTTTTATTTCCCTCCCCCCCCCCCTGTGATGGACTCCTCAGCTAGTATTCAATCTAAGCGTCTAATGACCAGATCCCTCGTGATCGTCAGGGCTTGCCAGAGGGCTAGTAGGATTGTTAACCTATTTTTAATTCTTATTTACCTAGTCGCTTTATATGAATCATAATCAGGACTAATATCCATGATCTGATCAATGACGCTATTTGGTATTGGGTAGTTCTCAAGATTTGTATCGCTTAGGTCTTTGATTATGACTTTTCCTTTGAAGATTTTGGTTGTTATCAAGCCTGTTTATCTGACCTATTGACCAGTTCACAATGCCCCAGGTGAACAATGCAATCATCTCATCTCACCTTGATTATGTTGAGTTGCACCATCATGCTTGTTGTAATACGAGGTATGAATACTGCCTATTTTAAACTACCTGAGGGGCTAAATTCGAGTAAGGCGATCGACGGCCGTACTTGGTATAGCACTGAGGGATACAGTAGAGGAGCCATACCTCACTCAACACGCCAGATTGGAAAGCAATGCTACCTTGATACATTTTGTTAGGAGTCTTTCAGTTAACTTTCCCCTTTCTCTTACTATGTACTTCGTACTCTTGATGAATTTTCTTTCCCCCTCTCTTTTCTCGCCTTTGCCTCTATGATGTTTTATGGCACACTTCCTCGACTTAGTAAATGTCAATGGACAAAAACAGGGGATAACGCTTCATTAGTGCCAACTGTGCATGCATACACCAAAATTAGCCAATCATAAGGACACAGAGCTACTATTGGGCACATGTTGATAATCCATCATATCGCTCATGCTGCTTGCCATTGATTTGTATGCTGACCTGGTGTCAGCTTTTTCCTTTGCCGAAGGCATAAAAAAGGAAAAAAAAAAAAAAAAAAAAGAGAGAGATAGAGAGAGAAGAGAACCCAGAGAAGTGAGATGATGTTTCGTAAGGCAATGTAGCCTCGGCCATCTCAGTAACAACCCCATACGAAATAAGTACAGGATAGGGTCATAAGCTCCTCACTCAATACCCGGAGTCCGCCCTTCATAACAAAACAGAGTAAGGTCGACAGGTGCTAAGATAGATAATCTTGTATAATTGTGACGAGGTCCACCCAACCTGTAGGGTCCGAGGCGATTTGATAGACGTGTTTACGCTAACTCCGGTTTCTCATTCAAATGCAAGTTCGACGCGCCTTCTACAATAAGTGAACATCCACGGTGCGCCCTTAATGTAATCGCATCCAGCTCCTTCAAATTCACTACCGGGCTAGTCCATGACAAGTAAAGCCCAAGATCACACGAAAGAATCCACAATCAGCCAAATTACTATCCGTACACACATTGCCCTTTTTTGGTTTGTTTTCTTTTTTCCTTTTTGTTTCTGACTTGACTTGACCCATATATCACTAATGAGGTAAATGTGGAGGTTGCGAGCGAAAGAAGAAGTGAAAACTAAACTGGCTGGGATAGGTCAAACATAGAAAGTACAAAACCATATGCGCGCCGAACCTTCTCAGGAGCATCTCATCACCGTCCAGTGTATGTAGAGTACCTTAGCAAGAGAAAATGAGGTCAGAAACACCCATTCATAAAAGATGGTATCGGGAGGCCTGTCAAACTACGGCAGCGGGGTGAATAAAGATACATACCTCCAGATTCTTGCACGCATATCACCACTACCGGTAGCGAACAAGTTGTTTGTCGGGCTGGGCGCCACCGAGATAACTACCACCAAGTTAGACAAAGGCATCACCCGCAAGAGATTTTGATACTAACCAGAATTTTTGTGGCCTTGTAGCATCATCTGCGCATTTCCCGTGATCGGATCCCAGAACTGGACACCCCGATCCTTGGAGCCACTCATAACCCAGTGTCCGTCTGGAGTCAGGCAAACACTGAGCACGAAGTCCTAAGCCGAAAGTGCGGTTAGCATCTATATGATTTGGCCTAAGGTAAACAGCAGGCCGTAACTGCAGTCGCGGACATTAACAAACCTTGTGGCCCTCGAAAGTCCGAATGCATTTACCACCTTTGACCCCAGTCCCAGGGAATGCACCACGGGGAACATTGAGCTCCCAGAGCTTGATAGTCTTATCAAGACTGCCACTGACTAGATCCCGGCCGTTTGGCGCGAAAGCGACCGAGTAAACGCTGTCTTTATGCCCATCAGGGCTCTCCAGCCGTTCAACTAAATAGCCGGTGGTAGTGTCCCAGACACGAACACTCTTGTCCAAGGAGCCAGCTGCGACGTAGTGACCATCGGGTGACATAGCAACGGTGGTGACACCATCTTCAATGCTGAGGGTGTAGACAAGCTTGCCATCCAGGATATCCCATAGGCGCACAGTCTTGTCTCCGCTGCCGGAAGCAATATAGCGACCGTTTCCAGCAAAGTCAAGAGAGTAAATATCTTGCTCATGACCAGTGAAGATATGCTTGATAGTCCGAGCAGCAATGTCCCAAACCTTGAGCCCACACAATCAGCCTCCTGACCAAATAAGCAAACAAGGGAAACGGGAGGGCGGGTGTAAAGATCATGTTCAAAGAGTACATGATAGACAACAGCTGTTGCCATTACTCGCAAGGATTAAAAGGTGAATATTGCGAGTCTTGAGGGTGACAGAAGAGCTGTACTCAGACTTACCCGAATTTGTTTATCCTCGGCGCCGGTTGCGAGGAACTTGCCATCTGGACTGAAGCAAACACTGCGGATATAAAGATCGCCATTTTTGTCCACATTCTCATCCTGAAGGGTAGCCACGTTCTGGCCAGTGGTGACATCAAAGATTTGAGCGGAACGATTGCAACCTGTTGCAAGATATTTGCCGTCCCGGCTGAAACGTACGCAGCAAACCACGCTATCGTGAACGAGGTGATGTACCAGCTCGACATCCAACACACGCTGCACCTCTGGGTTGAATACGGCGTACCAATCAGCACCCTCGCGCTTTTGCGAGGCAGGTAAATCATCTGGATTCCAGTTGGCCAACATGTTACCTGGGCGGTCACGGACAAGGGCTTGACTAGGTGGGGTAGGCCGGGCCAGCTGGGGTGACACACGAGGATCGGGGTAGGCCAGTTGGTGGGCTTGCTGGGGAGTTGCTGGTCCAGGGGGGGCACGAGGTCTCTTTCCAGGTCCAGGAGAGGCGGTGGGCGGAGGCGGAGGTGCATAGCCTGTACAAAATATTCGCGAGTACGGGTCAGACATCAAAGAACCCACTATGAACTCAGTCACAACATACCGTTCACAGCAGCACCAGGCTGATATCCCCCAAAAGAGCTCTGCGGTGGCTGCGGCGCTCCTTGCTGAGCCGCGGGAGCAGGCTGTTGAAGGGTATGCTGGGGAGGCTGCTGATCCTGGGGAGGGGGAGGGGCAAGACCGGGACCACTACCTCCTTGGTTGGCCATGATCCCACCAAATAGATTGCTGGGGCCATGGCCCAATGCGGGTGGGGGTGCTTGGGAAGGGCCAGCGTGCTGTGCTGGGCCAGCAATATGGGACGAGACAGGTTGAACACCGCGCGACTCGAGCTCATGACGAAGCACCCGAATTTCCGCTTCATAGCTGCAAAGAATTAGCTTCTGAAAAGGCCATTGTCTTTGGAAGGTCGTCCCATAGACACGTACTCTTGCTTCATCTTGATTTGTGCTTGTTCCAACTGGTAGACCTTCTGCCGAATCATTTCCATTTCTTGGAGCTGTCCGGTTACTGAAAGGATTGTTAGCAATCCATTTTTATCTAACATTTAATCCCCTCGTCTCTGAGTAAGAGAAACGGAGAGAACTCTTAGTAATTCCCAGCGAGCTATCGCGCTTCATGCGACAGATGTATCGGAGGAGCCAATTATGTAAGAACCTGTAGGGAAGTATGCCTGACAGGACTGGTCATGAGGGTTGAAACGAGGCAGATCCAAATAAGGGAAGAGGAAGACAATTCAAATGCACACATACATTGATGTTCAAACTCGCCGGTGCTCCTTGATTGATTCTCAAATTCCTGGCGCAGTTGATCAAGCAACTCCGTCAAACGGGAGTTGGGAGCGGGAACCATCCCGCGATGCGTGTTATACATTGCGCGTTACGCTTAGTCTGTGTGCTCAGTAGATATTGACAAAGATCAAAGGTATATTTGAAGATAACTCAGGGCGATCAGGCGGGACCAATAAAAGGATTGTTCGCGCGAGGTGAGGAACGAACGGTTAGTTTCGATTTAACAAACGGGCCGACCAGAAACGACTCAAGGCTGCTGGTAGAAAGTCAATGCAGCCGCATCACAGCGCGCCCCTGGGGACCAACCGCTGTAGCAATATCGTATTAATAAGGGCGGGTGTTGTGTGTGTAGCGGTAAAGACGTGGAAGGGGCTGTAAGGGGAGGATATGCAGTTGAGGTTTGGAGATGACAGTTCAAGCACGGAGATCAAGGCTGGAAATGGATGGGGGCAGGAAGGCGGCTGAAGGTTTGGCGCGAGAAGCGAGGCGATAGGCGAAGAAGCGACGGACGGGACTGGCCCCTTTTTAGCCTGGCGGGGCTTCCCGAAAGACCGTTTGCAGAGAAGGGACGGTATTAAGAGTTCCAAAGTGGATTTATGCCCATGGTAGTGACATACTTACTCCTAGTAATATCATAGCCCATCTCACAGATGGTTTCCCATAATATTTGATTTACATGATATACCTATATTCCCATAGTTTGTCATTTTCTGTAAGCCTTACCGTTGTGACGATCATGATAGACCTTCTTATGTTTTCTGGAGGCAACTTGGCTCTCAATGATATTGCCTTAACCTTTTTGTATTCTTCTTCTTCTTTTATTATTATTGTTATTATTATTACTATTGTTTACTTTTTTGTGAGAAAAAAAATCGATGAAAGAAAGAAAAGTTAAGGATGGAGATATTATATATTACTTTTAGCACGACAAATGTGACATTTCTCTATCGATGAAACGACTCAGTAGGTTGGATACAACATCTACTATGGTAAGGGGATGAAAAGAAGCTGTAATGTTCGGTTCTCAGTACCGAAGTTGTCCTAAGCTATTTCAGGGAAGATAGTTATGTGATACTTGTAGAGAGAAGTAAACCTAGACATCTCCCTCTAACGAATCGGATTGATATCAGTAGGAATTGTGAACGACATGCCCCCAACACTACACTCTTGGGAATTCGTGTTTCTGTTCATATATTTACAGGTGTTGATGCAAATGTACGCGAAGCTGAGATCTACTAGTCGAATAGCCGGGCAGCTGGCAAATGTAGACGAGTATGATAAGAGTACATAGTTACTTTCAACCGACTGTTTATATTTGTTGGATAATACTAGTGACTGCCTACTTCAGATTCTTTTGATCCCGTCCTTTGATGTTCAAGTTCCCCCCCCTCTCCTCTTTTTTTTTCCCTAGTTCACAATTATTAGATGAATATGCGCCTGTTACTCTGGTTGTGTGACCGTTTTTCATTTCTTTCTTTTTTTCTTTTTCCTTTTTTTTTTTTTTTTTTGCCCTTCCCACTTAGCAGATAACTACTTCCTCATCACCACTTTCCGGACCGCGAAAAGAAGCCTGAGTTCGAAAGGTACAAAAAAGAAAACGGGGAACGGCTGCAAGTGTTCCGCCTGGTGTGATGCCGAGCTTGATCCTTATAGGCTATTTTCCTTTTGTTCATTCCCATCCATGCTTCACATCAATTTCCTCTTCTCTCCACTTTACTTAATTTCCAACCTATCCCTAAAATCCACCCTTCTGATTTCCCCGACTTGACTCTCCTCTCTTCCACCTTCTCATTCCCTTTCCAACTCTTTACAACAATTGGGACGCATTGGCAGTTAGTAATCGTTTTCTCGACGGACCCGAATTACACCACGTTTCAGCTTGGTTCTCAAGGGATCATGGATATCGCTCTTGAAATCTGGGACACCTTCATTGGTGACCGCTTATATGCCGCTCTTCTTCCCATCTCCCTTTCGTCCTCAGTCTCGTTTCCTGGCTTCAATCATGCGGTCAACAGCACCCTGTCCTTCTTCGGCGCATCCCAGCCCTTCATCTATGAACCGGCCACACACCTGATCTATTTGGAACCGTCGAAGTACGCGTACATGAGTGCTTGGCCCAGGAACAACATCTATCGCCAATTCCTAAGTTTCTTCTTGATTGTCTGGTATGCAAAGAACCCCTTTCGCTAAGGCTGAATTCGGTGTCTAACGGTCATTTATGGAAAAGGATATTCGGCCTTATCACCTATTTCATATCCGCAACACTGTCTTATATTTTTATCTGGGACAAGACTACCGTCAAACACCCGAAGTTCCTCAAAAACCAAATTCCCATGGAGATTGCACAGACCATGGGATCAATGCCCATCATGTCTCTTCTGACTGCCCCCTTTTTGGTCGCCGAGGTCCGGGGTTATGCGAAGTTGTATGATGGTTTCTCCGACGAGCCTTTCCCGTACTATAGCATCATACAGTTCCCGTTGTTCATTGCATTCACCGATTTCTGCATTTACTGGATCCACCGGGGCCTACACCATCCGTTGATCTATAAGTCTCTACATAAGCCGCACCACAAGTGGATTATGCCCAGCCCCTTCGCCTCACATGCCTTCCATCCGCTGGATGGATGGTCTCAGAGTGTCCCATACCACGTATTTCCGTTCATCTTCCCGCTCCAGAAGGTCGCCTACGTTTTTCTCTTCGGTTTTATCAACCTCTGGACCGTATTGATCCATGACGGTGAATATGTTGCCAACAGTCCGGTCATCAATGGGGCGGCCTGTCATACAATGCACCATCTTTACTTCAACTATAATTATGGGCAATTTACCACCCTATGGGATCGATTGGGAGGAAGTTACCGAAAACCAAACGAGGAACTTTTCCGTCGTGAGACAAAGATGGACAAGGAGGAATGGAAGAAACAGACCAAAGAGATGGAATCTATTCTCAAGGACGTCGAGGGAGACGATGATCGCAATTACCTAGTGGAAGATGAGTCCAAGAAGGATCTGTGATTAACACTATAGGGCCTACCATGTCACTTCCTGTCTCCCTTTTATTCAAACCTTCTTGGAACTACTGTTGACTGGCTTAGACGGCTGTTGCGAATGATATAGGTTGTCAAACCGCTCCCTGGGAGCGGACAAGTTCTTTCTGGACCCCGCTGGATTCAGAGGAGAGAGCCACAACCGTCTTTTGGATGGCGCTAACAATACCCTCACTTGGATCTTTTGCTTCTGACAGTGAGTGTTACGATATTTATGTTTTCCTAATTTGTCCTGTGGGCACGTGTCTGCCATCAGGTCTCTTCCCTAGCCACACTGTTTAATACTGTTTCTAGTATATTAATTATTGCATACCTGTTTTTGTATTTATAATCAGTCACTGACACATCGTGATATGGACCATTGTCAATGGTGAAAATCACTGCAACCCCCCCCCCGGTGTTTATGGTTTCGTTGTACATATATTTCAATCATAACCAAAAGCAGGAATGAAAGTCATTATAGAGCAGTCTTAGTCGGTTCCTACTGCCACGGTCTAAACCTGTGCCCAATATTTAGATGTACGTTTTACAACCTGTTGAAGACACTTGCATTGCCCAAGTACTACGAGGCCAGTTTGCTGAATTGGTCCAATTTTGAATTGCACCACCTTGATTCTCCTACCAGAATACTAGGTGTATTATCATATATAGCGTCAATAGGTAAACACCTATCGGATTGAATAGTGATCATATTATTATATTTTTGGTCAAGATAAAAGTATACATATTAAGAATAGAACCCAGTTATACTCACAGTTTGCTTTCATATGCTGCATTTTCAACATCTAGTGTTAATAATGCCCAACTCATGCAGTGGGCTTATTGAGATATGGCAGTGACTTTTGCCAAATTAAATACCTTTCGAGATTCCTAATGTCAGCTGGTGAGTAGATCGAACCAGTCCTGAACTACAGTCTAAGATGGCCTTTTCTTCTTTTCCCTTTCTTCTTTTCATCCATTATTTGAAGAAATAATGGAAAGAAAGAAAAAAGAAATGAAAAAAGAATAAAAAAGGAAAGCATATATAATAAACAAGTATGCAGCTACTCTTCGTTTAGGATAATGTCCAAGACAAGAAAGAATGCCGACAAAAGAGGCTAAACATGCGAAGCCTCCCAATGACCCCCAGATAAAATTCATGAGACATTCACCGCCCCATCTGCATCCGCGACGTCTAGATCTCCATCTGCTGGAATATCCATAGCCGTGGTTTCTTCCTGGGGCGGAGGTGCCGTTGTTCCGATAGGAGTTGCAGTGGCCATGGCTTCAGCGATAAATGATTCCTCAACGCCGGCTTTTCGCCTGAACGCTCTCAGCCACCGACATCCCCATTGTCTGATGATATTGTCCTCTGGTAGCTCGCCACTTCCATCACCCCTTTCCATCAATTCATCGTTGTTGCCTTCGGCGACTGACACAATTGAATCTTCAATTACCTTGAAGAGCGCCTGCATATCTGTCTTCTCACGTTTTAGGGTTTCATCTAGAACACTCAGCTGTGGCTCATATAGACCCGGCTGCGTCCGTGCAGCAACGATTTGGCGCAGACGGTTGGTGACCTTTCCCACAGTGGCTGATATCATCTCAAAAACATGTGTTCTTGCCAAAATCGTCCCAGCTTCGAGCTTGTCAACCAGTGCCCATTCAATGACGGATAGCGGCGTCAGGATAGTGTAATTCAGTAGCTTGTCAATGATATTGATGCCGATTCCTGGCTGATCGGTCCAATATTCCATGACAGAGGTTATAATCTGGCGACGTGCACGAGTGGACTTGGGGCCAATGGCTAAAAGCCGTTCCTTGTTTCGCTCAATGCAAGACAGTACGTGAGAAAGTGATTTTGACCCAACGAAGCAAATCGCCGTGACGAACACGTCTGTTGAAGGTAGCATAGGGTCCTCAACCCCCATCGCCCTAGCTTGCTCTTCAATAGCATTGATTATGGGCAGGATATCATCATCAGTTGCTTTCTTACGGATGAGCTGCATGATTTCTGTGCCTTCGTTGGCATAGGGTGTGGCTATCGAGGACGATGATAAGTCAACAAGTTCTTAGAGGTCCACGACAGGATTGGAGCGCATGAACTTACTCTCTAATGAGTATTTGAAGTCAGGAGTATCCTTCTCCTTGCCTTCTGTAATCAAATCTTGATAAGGGTCTGGAAGTGTTCCTCTAATACGCTGGGCAAAGCTTAACCTGATCTCTTTGTCCAGCGCGCCGATTATAAAGGCCATCCTTGGGTGAACGGAGGAAAGTTCAAGGTCATCGATCCTTTTTCAACGGTTAGCCCCTCATTCTGTCATTTATTATTATTGTAAATGTAATTTTTCCTTTCTTTTCTTTTCTTTTTGACTTAAAGACAAGGATCTGTATCGTTACGGTGGGACTGACCATTCACTCCATTTCCATGTGAACCCGAAATTGCTTAGATGATGGGCAAACCAATCCAAGAACCGATGGCTTAAATCCAGATCAATCGTTTCCAAGCTGCGATAGAGAAAACGAATCGCACGCCCCAAGCTCGGAGCGATAGCAGCCGGTGCAATCTTACAGCACTCTGTGAGAACTGAGTGGTAGTACACAAGCTTGTGCTGCGGGGAGGGAAGTTGGAATAACTGGGAGAAAACTGCATCCACGGCCACGTCTTCGGGCTTCCACGTCGGGCGGTCCCCAGAGATATCGCGTAATCTGTCAAAGGGCGTTGCACGCTTCACGAAAGTATGTGGTGCAAAGTAACAGTCAATGTCAATGAGATACTTGGCAGTGGCAATACGGTTGAAGTCAAGGATGTTGATCGTGTCAACAAGAGCGTCCCGCAGCAGGGATGACGCAATATCCGACGTTGGAGGGACAGTTTCCACCTCTTGGTTGGAATACACGGACATATAAACTTCAGGGAAAATCGCTCCGGATCCATTTCGTACAGGGTCGGGCACAGTTATTTGAGGGAATGCATGCTTTGCGCCGGAATCCAAGGGTTTCTGCTCTTCTTCATTGTCGCGTCCACCTTTCCACGGTCGAGGAAGACATGAGAGTTCCCAATTCCGGCTGGCTTCCTGCTGGAGCTGACTTTGAAGCAGGCTAATAACGCTTTGTGCAGCAGATGAAGTGTCATGTTCCGGGCTAAACGGATTAACCAAATCCACCAACGCATGCGGGGTCGATGCAATAATGTCGGTCTTTTCAAGAAGGGCATTTGCCTGAGCCTCAAAACCTGTTATTGGAGAAGCCATTATATATGGAATGGTGAAGAGAATTATCTTCACGAGTTCCAGTCCTAGCAACTATACATGACTTATTAGTCGATGTGCACATAATAGATAGCGAAACTGCTCACATCTTCAGAAGAGGCTGTCTGCAGAACAACGGCCCGCTCAAAAAGCTCTTCCAGGATTGAGAAGATGCCGTCTCCTTCATATAATATCTGTAGGCATCCAAAAAACCGGAGAAGAAGCTTGACTTCACGCCACGCCCCGTTGTTGATGTAGTGCTGTAAGTATTCGCTCGCTTTTGTAAGGACATCGGACACAAGCTCCGATCTGTAGACATTGGCAGACAGGACCGTCGCTGCAATAAAGGGGATTTTCAGCGGCTGCTCTAGGACACTGTCACGCGTCGCATTGTGTTAGCGTTCGGACGGGAAAACTAGGGCCAGCCTAAGCGTACAGGTCAACTGAAATATCAACAAAGGTCTGTCTCAGCTCCTCATCCTCATAATTCTCGGCGACGCTTTTTGCAATATTCACAACATCGTCTTCGGCTCTTCTAGCGGCCTAACGTGAAAGTGTAAGTTATGACGTTGATAACCAAAATCTAAACGCCGAAGCAGAGTGATCGTACAGATTCGGCAATGGTTAATAGCTGTCTTCGGACCTTCGCCACCAAAGGTTCTTCATATCTGCGCCTCTGGCGTCGATCATAGTCATCGTCTTCTACATCCGCAGTAATTGTTAGTGGAAAGAGCTATCAAAAAACATGACGATACGAGGGATCAAGAGAAACGGTATTGTGGTAGATGCCATAGCTTTTTTTGTTTTGATCCATAAAAGAAATTCCATACTGACCTCTATAGCGCTTTTTGCGACCACCCTTAGGCCCGTGATGACGGCGTTCATAGTCAACCATAGCTATCTATTACTGGGCACGTAGGTCTTTGTGCCTCTGCCGATTGGGACGAGCAAGATATTGAGCGAGACACTGTCAAAGCTGTATGATGTAGATGAGACACATAAATGTGCGTCGACAGACACTTTCACCGTCGGTAAAGTCTATCAGAGCAAAGATCACGCGTGCGCATGGTTCTAGAAGCAAAACATCGTCGGCACCCTGAGCTCAACAAGGCTCGGGATAAGGGATGCTCCGTGCCGCTGATTATATAATATTATAATATGACTGACTATTAACTACTCAGTAGGTACCATTACACGCTAACATACATCCAGTAACATATATCACGATGTACCACGAACGAATTACCTCTCAGAAACAGAGAGACCAGCTGGTCATTTGTTTTACACATATGCCCTGTTGTCCCAATTTGAGATGCCTAAGATCAAATCTAGTTCAGACCCTATCTTTTAACTAGCTAAACAGCTATGATATCTATCACAAACATGGAGCACCGCATTTCACCTTCTGCCTTTGCCGCGGAGCTGTATGGGAGAGTGATATAACGATCAACTCGGATTCTTCGCCCATTCACCTAGAGTACAGCTACCGGGAGCCGTTTGAGGCCCACTGGCACTTATATAGTCGTCGATGAGTATGACCCATAGACCTCCTACATCCATAGACCATCCCGACTATTGGGAGAGATATATGCCAGAAAATCTGGAAAGAAACTTCCAATTATAGCATGAGACAATGAATAACGGAAATTGGAGGGGCCAAACCAGGCAATTACAAGACTGTGGTTATACACACTAACGAATGTGACGTTCCAGGTGTACGTAGAACTCTAATAGAAGGAAGAGAAGAGGGACGTGGCGAGGAGAGAAATGGTGAGGGGGAAGAGAAGGGGCTAAGAAATCAAAAAAAGAAAAGAAAATAGTATATCAGTCGTCTGCTTCGGAACTAACTATGCACCAGCTTCATCGTCGAGGAATATTATCATTCGATCCAAACATATGAAGCCGGAGTTGTGAAATGCGAACAATGAGTAATTCAAGGGAGATAAAAAGAAAGGCAGATGGGACGAGTATGAGGGTAGAAGACAAACAGTAGAGAATATTTAAGGCGCAAAAGAAAGGTGAGAAAAAGAAGAAAAATGAGCCGAAGGCAAAAAGATGAGGGCATTTCTAACGCTGCAAGTCGAGGGAATTAAACCTCCAATACCTATATTCAAAGCATGCTCACTAGCACATGATTGATGTGCATCCAAGCATAAAAATCCTCAACGATATCTGACGTACTTGTAGGATATCCATCTCTCCGCCCTTGTCCATAGGACTTGTGACATTTATAACCC